TGCATGTAGGATTACAACTTTGATAGGGATTTAAGGCGAGGTATAATCATTTTATAGGATAGAATCGTGCCGCGATCTCGTTGGTCAAAAAGGGTCTCCTGATCTGATTCAAAAACTGACAAATGCTAAGCATCCCGATATGACTGGGAGTACCCTAAGCATGAACCAGAAAAATCATGATGGCAGGAAAAAAATTTTCAGTGCAAAACTTGGGTCAGAATCCTACTCGCGGCAGAATTCTCTATTTTCACGTCAGATATTTAAACGTGCAGAGCTTGAGCTTCTGATATCAAAATCCATCGATTCAAAAGACCAAATTCATCTATGCATTCAGGACCATGTCTTGCAAGGGGAGTCAAGGCGAGATATAATTGTTTTGCATGACAGAATCAAGCCACAATCTGGTTGGTCAAAAAGGGGCTCCCGATCTAAATTCAGGAAACTAACAATGCCAAGCATCCTCGACTGAGAGCCCGCCATAAGAACAATAAGCCCTAGGACCTAATGAAGGTGTAGGTCCATTCTTTAACATGTCATGAGTGATAGAATATAGTTGGGACGGTTAGATATTGGACGAACCCCAGTCAAGATCAGGGTCTAAATTGGAACAAAGAAAAAATTGCGGCAGCAGTAGAACTAGGTTTTGTAGTGCCACTTTCAAGGGATTTATTTCAACCTTACAGCCCATGTAAAAGAGGAATGAATTTAGCATTATAAAGAATCCTAATTAGCCTAAGAATCCTGACAATTTTGGTAGCAGTGGGGAAGGATAAAGAGAGCAGGAGATGGCTGAAACAGGGTTCGAAAAAAAACATTTCTTTCTTCTTAGCTTTTGTCAATTTCCCAGCAACCGTGAACTAAACTTCTACCTTTGATTTAAAAGGGATATCTTCAGTAGCACGTATGGCTTAAAAATGGGTAACAACAGATGCGCCCTCTTTACGAAACTTGCGAAGCTAAAACTTGAGTAGCAATTTTTGTAAAGATAAATTAATAAAACTATCAAAACTCAATGCCTTCTTAAATATGATCTCATTATTAGGTGACCTACCCGTTTCTCTATTCAAAAGAATTTTAAAAGTGGTCTAAATGCCGGGTGACCTGCCCGTTTAGAAAACTCCATGCTTTTCTGAAGATGGTCTCCTTTTTCTTTTTGAAAAATGGTCTCAATGTTGGGTGACCTACCCATTGTAAGATTCTTTAGAGAAACTCCACTCTCTTTTTTCTAAAAAGTGGTCTCAATCTCGGGTGACCTGCCCATTGTAAGATTTTTAGAAAAACTCCAAGCTTTTTTCTAAAAAGTGGTCTCAATATCAGGTGACCTGCCCGTTGTCAGATTTTTAGAGAAAGTCCATGTTTTTTCTAAAAGGTGGTCTCAATGTCGGGTGGCCTGCCTATTGTAAGATTTTTAGAAAAACTCCACGCTTTTTCTAAAAGGTGGTCTCAATGTCGGGTGACCTGCCCGTTGGATTTTTAGAAAAACTCCACGCTTTTTCTAAAAGGTGGTCTCAATGTCGGGTGACCTACCCGTTGTTAGATTTTTTTAGAAGAACTCCACGCTTTTTCTAAAAAGTGGTCTCAATGTCGGGTGACCTACCCGTTGTTAGATTTTTTTAGAAGAACTCCACGCTTTTTCTAAAAAGTGGTCTCAATGTCGGGTGACCTACCCGTTGTTAGATTTTTTTAGAAGAACTCCACGCTTTTTCTAAAAAGTGGTCTCAATGTCGGGTGACCTGCCCATCTTAAGATTCTTAGAAAACTCCACTCTTTTCTAAGGAATGGTCTCAATATCGGGTGACCTGTCCATCTTAAAATTTCTTAGAAAACTCCATGTTTTTTTAAGAAACCGTCTAAATATCAAGTGACCGGCCTATCTTAAAATTTTTAGAAAACTCCACGCTTTTCTAAGAAATGGTTTCACTATCGGGTGACCGGTCCCTCTTCAAAATTTTTTTAGAAAACTCCACGCTTTTCTAATGAATGGTCTCAATATCGGGTGACCTATCCATTTTGAACTTTAAAAAAAAAATCATCTTACCTCAAGGAATGAAGTAGTGTTGGTTGACAATTCCTATCCTTTTCTGTAGTTTTGTAGACTTGAGATTTTGGACCTCAGCGGATTTTTTTTTTCTTTCAAAAACTTGGAACTATTTTGGCCTTCGTCACACCTTCTCCTACCAAGTTAGTGTTATGATAGTATAGCATGCATGTTTTTTTGTTACCTATTTTGGAAACATAGGTCCCCCTTTCTGTTGTAAACTTATTGAGCTCTTGTTTCCACTTGTTTGTCCAACTCGTCCTCTTGAAACAAAATATGCTCCACGCGTTATACTTCCTATCCTCTTGGTAAAGAGATCTTTGGTTCCTTATGGGGCCCTTTCTTGATCCATTGAATATTGTCTTTTATTATTATTTTAAAAGGAAAGCTTAAAAGATTTGGTTTTGTTCATGAAAACTGAAACTTTCAATGCAATTAGCAATTTCATAAAAGATTTTTTTTTTAGAAGTTTTTATGATGATCCCCCTTTTGGGGCTTTGGTTCACTATGGACCCCTATGTGCACTTCGTACACTTCTTACCCTAGTGTGGTGTGCAAAAAAAAAATATGTCAAGTTTAGATTTGATTTAGTTCTCTCCAATTGATGGAATCATCTCCTTAGTCATGTGTAAGAAAAAAAAAATTGTTTCAGTAAAAGATTTCAGATGTTATGAGATCATGCGTTTTATGAAGAAAGGTGCTTTATAGAGAAAATTCATGGCCAAACTTTATTTTATTAATTGGTAGATTATGGAATACATCAAGCGTAATATTTCTTTACAGAATCAGAATTCACTGGCCTAACTAGATCTTCTCCATCCATTCTAAATAACAACAAAGCTCCTCCTGAGAATGCTTTCTTCACCACATAAGGGCCCTCATAGTTCGGCGCCCATTTACTTCGATCTTCTCTTAGTAAAGGCATTATTTTCTTCAGTACAAGATCTCCTTCATGGAATCCTCGAGGTCGAACCTTTTTGTCATATGATTTGGCCATCCTTCTTTGGTAGAGTTGATGATGATAGATTGTGGCTATCCTTTTTTCACTAATCAGATTCAGTTGTTCATATCTAACTGTTGCCCATTCTACCTCTTCTAGCTCAGAGTCCACCAGTACTCTCAATGAGGGGATTTCCACTTCTAAAGGTATAACCGCCTCCATTCTATATACCAACATGTACGGGGTGGCTCCTGTTGAGGTTCGAACTGCGGTGCGATACACATGAAGGGCAAATGGCAGCATCTCATGCCAATCCTTATAGGTGATTACCATCTTCTGAATAATCTTTTTGATATTCTTGTTAGCAGCTTCTACCGCACCATTCATCTTTGGTCTATACGGCGAAAAGTTAGAATGCTTGATTTTCCATTTAGTGTAGAGTTCTATTATCATCTTGCCATTGAAATTCTGGGCATTATCAGTTATAATCTTTCTTGGTGGACCATATCGACAAATCAAATCTCTCTCAATAAATTTCTTCACTACTTTCTGCATTACATGAGCAAATGACCCAGCTTCTACCCATTTTGTAAAGTAGTCAATAGCCACGAGAATAAACCTATGACCATTGTTGGCTTTTGGGTTTACAGGTCCAATCACACCAATCCCCCACATCACGAAGGGCCATGGAGATGTCAAGTTAAACAGAGGAGCTGGAGGGGCGTTTATTTTGTCACTATACACTTGACACTTATGACATTTTCGGACATAGTCGATGCAATCCTTCTCTAATGTCATCCAGAAGTAACCGGCTCTTTGTATTTTCCTAGCCATCACATGTCCATTAGCATGGGTTGAGCAAATCCCTTCATGGACTTCTTGTAACGTGTTTTTTGCCTCAAATTCATCCAAACATCTCAACAAAGTCCCGTTGAATGATTTCTTATACAAGATCTCCCCATCAAGATAAAAATCTGTTACCAACCTCTTCAAGGTCTTCTTGTCGATTTTGGATTCCCCCATGGGATATGCCTGGTTTTGGATGAAATTCTTGATATCATAATACCAAAGGTTTCCATCCACTTCTCTTTCAACTGAGCAACAATGAGCTGGGTTATTTCTGATATTGATGTGTACCGGTTGTACCTTGTGCCCAAAATCTATTTTGGCCATAGATGCTAGTGTAGCCAAAGCATCTGCAAACTGATTTCCTTCCCTTCCTAGATGGGTGAACTCTATTTCCTCAAATTCTCCAGCCAGTTTAGACAGGTATTCTTGGTAAGGCCTTAACTTCTCTTCCTTGGTTTGCCATTCTCCTTTTACTTGGCAAATGATCAGCATTGAGTCTCCATACACGTCTATCTTTCTAATGTTTAGCTCCAATGCAGCTTTTAAACCAAGAATGCAAGCTTCATACTCAATTGTGTTGTTGGTGCACCGAACTGCAGCTTAACTGAAACCGGATACTGCTTCTTATCAGGAGAGATTATCACTGCACCTGCCCCATTGCCACATACATTTACAGCACCATCAAAGTACATAATCCACCAATCTGATTTCTCTTCCTCGATTGCAAGCACATCTTCATCGAGAAAGTCAAAGTCTACTGACTCATAATCTTCCATAGCATGGTCAGCCAAGTGATCGGCAATAATACTCCCCTTTACGGCTTTCCTTGTCATATATACTATGTCATACTCAGCCAATAGAACTTGCCATCTTGCAATTCAGCTCGATAAATAGGGCTTTTCACAAATATACCTCAACAGGTCTAATTTGGAAATTAACCACGTAGTGTCATACAACATATACTGACGTAATCTCTTTGTAGCCCATGTCAGTGCACAACACAACTTCTCATTCATAGTATACCTAGACTCACATTCCGTGAACTTCTTACTCAGGTAACAAATGGCCCTTTCCTTCCTTCCGGTTTCATCATGTTGCCCAAGCACACATCCCATTGTTGTTTCTATTACTGTTAGGTACAATATCAATGGCCTTTCTGGTACAGGAGGAACAAGCAAGGGCGGATTCAACAAGTATTGCTTGATTTTCTAAAAGGCCTCTTCGCACTCTTCATTCCAAATTTCTGGGTTCTTCTTCCTTAACAAATGAAAGATCGGATCACAAGTCATGGTTAATTGGGATATAAACCGAGCAATGTAATTCAACCTTCCTAACAAACCTCTCACATCTTTCTCAGTCTTGGGAGGTGGCATAGATTGAATAGCCTTTACTTTATCACTCACCACAAATCCCAACAATTTCATAGATTTCACCCCGAACAAGCACTTCACCGGGTTAAGTCTTAACTTATATTTCCTTAGTCTTTCAAACAATTTCTTTAATATTTGGACATGATTTTCTCCCTCTCTAGATTTAGCAATCATGTCATCCATGTATACTTCAATCTCTTTGTGCATCATGTCATGAAACAAAGTCACCATAGCCTTTTGGTAGGTGGCCCCAGCATTCTTTAAACCAAATGGCATGACTTTGTAGCAAAAGGTCCCCCATGGTGTTATAAAGGTTGTCTTCTCCATATCCTCTTATGCCATTTTTATCTGATTGTATCCGGAAAACCCATCCATAAAGGAATATGTGGAGCTACGTGCTGCATTATCAACTAACATATCTATATGTGGTAGAGGGAAATTATCTTTAGGGCTAGCCCAATTTAAGTCCCTAAAGTCGACACAAAATCTGATTTTACCTTCCTTTTTGGGTACCACTACTATGTTTGACACCCATTATGGATACTTGACTACTTCCAAAAAACCAGTGTTCCGTTGTTTTTCAATTTCTGCTTTTACTTTGATTAAGACCTCCGGATGAGTTCTCCTCAACTTCTGCTTAATTGATTTGCATCCATCCATCAGTGGTATCCTATGTACTATAATATCCGTATCCAAACCAGGCATATCCTCGTAGGACCAGGAAAAGACATCTACGTAATCTTTGAGCAGTGTAATCAATTCTTCTTTCTCTTCAGGGGTGATCAAAGTCCCTATTTTTAACTCTCTCTTGATTTCTTCATTGCCCATATTTATGGTTTCAAGTTCCTCTTTAGCAGGCCTCCAAGCCTGTTCATGCTGTTCTATTAATTTTGTGAATTCCCCAATGTTTTTCTTCTCCCATTCCTCATCTTCTACAGCTACTATGTCTTCTTTAAAGTTTGGCCATTCATTCTCAATGTAAAGTGTAGGTGTTGTTGTGGAAGATCCGCTTTCAGGGTTCCTGAAAGAGGGAAGTGATGTGTAAATGCATAGTAAGACATCAAAATGAAATTTGAAGAAAATGCATGATCTCATTAAAAGGAAAAGATTGGCTAAAAAAAACAAAAATAAAATCCAATTGACATCTTGAGCTTCGATTGTCAATGAATAAAAACAAAACAAAAAGATAACCAATCATAAATAAAGTTATAATCCAACAATCATTGTTGATTACATTTTGAAAACCAATGGAGCTTCTTGGATCTCCCAATTCTGGAACTTCTCTCCTTCGGCTAGCTTTCGAACGAAAGTTTTGGTAGTAAATTCTTCTAAAATGTAGATGGTTAATTGCGGCAGCTTTTCATCCTTTCTTCCAGATTCAAACTTCTCAACGACGTCCTCAACTTGATCTTCCTCCAGACTGTTTATGTTTATTGAAGAAAGCTTCTGAAGGAGGTTTTCATGTCCCTTATCAGGCTGTATCACGTATACAGCTTTTGGAGAAGAAATCCTGATAGGAGGGATGGCTAAGCTCTCTTCTTCAGGCTTTCTTCCTTTAATCCTCGCCATTCTCTTCTCCCTTCTTGCACCAACAACTCGCTTGTAATCCTCCTTCTTGGGCTTATATCCAACCCCAAACCTCTATTTTTCAGCTTTTAGTTTGATTATATCAATCAACTCAAGTTTTCCTTTCTCGATATCATATGGGAAAGGAATCTTGTGCTTCAAAAAGCTTTTAGAGGCCATTTTGGTGGCCTCTGAAATTTCTGGTTTCTTCACCATAGTGTTCTCGGGCACCTACTCGGTATTCACAACCTCAAATGCATGAAGATTTTCATCCTTACAATCTTCAGCTTCAATGAATGGAACTGCCACATTTCTTACCATCGATATAGTCTCCTCAACCTTAACAGTCACTAGAACACCATTAGCAATGTACTTCAAACATTGATGCAACGAGGAAGGGACAGCTCCTACAAAATGTATCCATGGCCTTCCTAACAACATGCTATAGGAAGGGTGGATATCCATCACTTGAAGGGTTACTAGAAAGACTTGTGGACCCACAGCTAGTTCGACCTCAATTGTCCCTATCACTTTCCTTGGCGAGCCATCGTATGCTCTATCCATCATCACACTAGGTTGCATGTGTGAGGGATCTACTAGCATTTCGTCCAGCATATGTCTTGGTAACACATTAAGTGCTGAGTCGTTATCGATGAGAACTTTACCAATGAGGCAATCTTTACATCGTACCGTGACATACAAAGGCTTGTTATGTCCTGTTCCTTTAGAGTCAAGTTCATCTTCCATGAAATATAGGTAATTGGCAGTATGGATCCTCCCTACTAGATGCTCCATGGTCTTTTGTTCAATATCTTGGGGTACATAGGCCTCATTCAGTACTTTTTGCAAAGCATTACGATGCGGCTCGGAGCTGAGTATTAATGACATGATGGAGATCTTGGCAGGGATCTTCTTTAACTGATCCACTATACAATACTCACTATGCTTCATCAATTTCAAGAACTCATTTGTTTCTTCCTTAATAATAGGTTTATTTACCTCAAAATCTTTATTTAGGTCCAACACCTCCTTGCCCTTAGCCTTTCTTTGCTTCTCTAGTTCTTCAAGTGTGAAACAACGACCACTTTGAGTTAGCCCACTTATCTCAGTTTGAAACAATGATAAAGGAGTTTTCACATTCGAGGTATAACCATAATCTCCAGGAATCGCTCCATAGTCTACTTTGTTTGTATATGAGGGCTTAGTTAATACCAGTTTCGAGAGCCCATTAGCCGTTGATTGGACTTTGCATTTCCCCTGATTATCTATCATCTCTATCTCTTCATTATCTATTGCATCCTCAATCCTTAGCTCTCCTAAAGTAAGCATTCTCACAACCTTTTGATGAAACTCAATACATTCATCAATGTGATGCCCTTTCTTTTTATGGAATGGGCAAAAATCATTTTTCCTCATGCAATGTTCAGATGGTTTCTCCAAATGTCCAGATTGTACCAACATCTCGCACAGCCTCGCCATGGTCACTTTTAGCACCTTCTCTTTGCTTCCGACCTCCATAGTATTCACTCCACTACCACCTACAGCATATTTGGGTAGAGGGTTTGAATTCACATTAGGCGAATCTTCAAAAGTAACCCATCCGATTTTAATTTGCTGTGATACCCTCTTCTTAAAAGCCACGCAGTTATCGATGCTATGACCCGCATTACCAGCATGGTATTCACAAGTCAACTCGGGGTTGTACCAAGTAGGGAAAGGCAGTTGCATAGGCGGTAATGGTAAGGGAGCTATCTGTCCAATACTTAGGAAAAGGCGGTTGCATAGACGGTAATGGTAAGGGAGCTATCTATCCAATACTTAGCAACTTGGCATATAACTCCTTTAGGGTTATTGGCAACGGTGGTAATGGTTCTTCTAGTTGTCGGTTGTCTCTCCTTTGGTAATTTTTTTGGTTGCTGGCTGGGAATTTTGTTTGATGGGGTTGGTTTGGTATGGAGGGTTTGGAAAAGTTGATGCTGGTGATTTGGGAGGTAGGTGTTTGGTAATTTTGGTAGTTTCTTCCTTTCCCTTGGTACCTGCCTTCTAGGTTTTTCACCTCGGTTTCCTTTTTCTTCCTAAAAAAACCCTTCTTCTCTACAAGTTCTGCAATTCTCCCATTTTGGATTCCTTGCTCAATCCTTTCAGCAATTCGCACAGCATCATAGAAATGCTGGGCTAAGCTACCCATAAGATGTTTGTAGTATGAGGCCCTAAAAGTATTGGTAAACAGTGTTACCATCTCTGTCTCTATTAGTGGAGGTTGTACATTAATAGCTTGGTCTCGTCACCTTTAAGCGTAAGCTCTCACGGACTCTTGAGTTCTTTTCTCTATGGTAATCAAATTGGTCCTATCAGAAGCAATCTCAAGATTGAACTTGTATTGTTTTAAGAAAGCATCGGCCAGATCTATCCATTTCTTGATTCTAACATTGTCCAACCTCATATACCAGCTAAGAGTCGATCCTGTAAAGCTATCCTGGAAGAAGTAAATTAGCAATTTATCATCATGGATAACTTCTGCCATCTTGTTATAGTAGGAACAAAGATGGGTTTTTGGGCATTCCATTCTAGTATACTTAACAAACTCCGGAACTCTAAACTTCTTTGGAATTAAAATGTTAGGCACTAAACATATTTCAACGGCCCTAATTGGGTCAAATAAATCATTTCCTTCAACTGCCCTTAGCCTCTCTTCTAACATAGTCCAACGATCATACCCTTCGTGATTAGAGAATCTGACGTCTTATGGATCCTCGTTTGTTAAATCCATCGTAACAGGGATTTGGATGGGCCGAATGGGATTAGGATGCTGCTTATTTGGTGTATTTTCCCTCGTGTTTATAGGTACAATAGGGACTTTAGCTGTTGGTGGTGCTTCATCAGGTTGAGTAGACGTTCCCTCTCCATCTCTAGCTCTCAACATTTTCTCTAGCATACTGGTTAGGTGCGCCACATCATTCCGAACTCCTTCAAGCTCTCTTTGGTATTGAGTTTCAGATTATGACCTTTCTTTGTTTTCCATTCTTGTTCTTTGTCAAGTATTGTGGATTCTAGAAGGGGGACCTATGTTTCTTAATCTGCAGATGCGTGTATAGATGTATGAGAAAATGCATGATTGAGAATGCTTTGTATATTAGGTATGGATGCAATCTTCTTATGAACGAATAATGGCCACCACTTTATAAATATAGGTTCTCTTGTCACATTGCTAGGAGTACTGCCTTTCAAGTCGTTTGCTTGAATCATATTCACCAAGAGACAAATTTTGCATAAGTGGATTGGTCAACGCCCTTTTCATTAATGCTTGATAAGTTTATTACATTAATAAATAAAAAGAAAGTATAAAATATATTAATCCCTTTCCTCCCTAAACTCTCTAGCCAAAGGTAAGAAGGCAAAGCCGCGATTCTCAATCTTCCCTAGAAAGGCATCGGTTTCAGCAAGGCTTCGGCGATAGCGAATGATGTCTCCTCCAATATTCCACGCATTGATTCTAATAATTCGAGCATGTGCAGCAGCTTTATCCATTTGCTTATCTGTCATGGTCATCTTCTCTATGAGCAACATCTTGGTTCTATTCAAAGCAGTGTTGTTGGCGTCGATTTGATCCTTGTGTTTTTCCATTGCTGTTAGCTTCTCGTCCAAATACTTCACCTTTTCACGTTCCTTGTCAAGTTTTGTCCTCATAACTTTTATCTCATTCTTCTTAACCGCTAATTCTGTTTCAACAACCTCAAAACCTTTCTTTTTACTTTCTTTTGCAATCCCCATTGAACGGCTTTCCAACTCTATATATTTCTTGTTCAAATCCTCACACTTCCCAATCCTATCCATCAACTCGAATTGGACTTGTGCAAATTTTTCTTGAAAATATTATGCACGTCCTTGGCAATCGTTAAGGTCAATCTCCATTGCTTCAAGTTCAGAGCAACTTTGCATCCAATCCAAACCCATCCTTCTTAGCTCCTTCTCACTTTCTTCACTAGCAATCTTCTCCTCACCTAGCTTTAACTCAAGCTTTGTTATTCTTGCATCTCTAGATTGTAGTTGCTCATCTAGAAATGCTCTCCTTTTATCTCCTTCCAGCATCATTTCTTCCAACATTGCCTTGTCTTTTCTGCTTTTGCTCAACTCTATCCGAAGTTTTTCCACCTGTCTTCTCAACTCCTCTTCATTATTGACCCTTTTCCTCTTAATAGGCTCTTCTATAGTTTGGGGAGATTTGACTCCTACACAAGGCATGGCTGAAGGAGCTAGATTTCTCCATTTTGCATATTCTTCACTTGCACTTGGATCCTTTAAACCTTCTATCTCAACCAAAACCAGATGCTTCCAATCTTGTTTGATGATCTCCAAAACTTCTTGCACAATGGGGTCTCTAAATAAACCAAAAAATTGAGTAATTCCCATAGTCCTTGGAACAAACTGCATGCCCCCAAGTTGCCTTACCACTAGGGTAGGAGCATAACTCACATAACCTGTAATCCTTACCAATGGCACCCAACGTCTTTGTCCACAACTCATCAAGACTTTCACTGTCATTACCCATAGGGCTCTCCACTTGAAATCACTATTAGGCAATCCTTCTAATTTTTCAACCCAACCTTGGTTGTCCAGATCTCCTCATTCATCTTCTTCGACTAATTTCAAGGGTCTTTGGGTGAACCACCAAAAATTATTGAATACAGGTTTTTTTGTTTCGATATGGTTAACCATTCAGATAAACAACAACTGCGTGCAACATCTTATTGCTCCTTTTCCAGTCCTCCTACAATGATTAAGCGTCAAGATGGTTTCAGCTAAAATAGCAGCTAGTGGATTGACTTGTGTATTCTCATACTCTACATAAGCAGCAACGACCTCCAAACTCACTACACCCGTCTGACTTGGGAACAACACCAGGCCAAATATGCCCAAGGCAATCAATCTCTCTTTTTCTAATCCTGACTTCTTTTCTAGTTTAATTTCTAGCATCCTCCATTTCAGATCGGTAGCATTCTTTTCCAAAAACTTTTCCAAGTTGGAGATTCTGAGCAGTTTTGACAATTCGGGGATGATCTTATTAGATCTCAAAGGAAAATAAATCCTATACAGATTGTTTAGAAACTCAGTCAACATCCCATATTCCTCAATAGTGGGACACAAGTCTATGCTTCCAAAAGAAAAACACCGGTAGTCTGGATCCTAAAAATGAACTAAAGCTTGCACAGCTGGGCTTAATACTTCTACCTTTGCAATCTCCACCAAACATCCGTATTTCCTGAAAAATACATCCTTATCCAGATTCTGAAAGTGAGTCGTTAACTTGTTCACCTCATTCATAATGCAATTGAGGTTCTTGATTGGTGACAGCTCTTTAGCATCGCTACTAAGGCAGTCTCCTTTAGTCAATTGTGATAGTTCAGAATTTTTTCCATATTCTATGATGGAAAATTTAGCAATGGTGGCCATTTCGTTCACAAGTCCTGCAATTCAAGATGCCTTGGGGTTAGACTTGTTTTAGTGCAAAAGATATTATGGAGCATACAACCTAAGGATAGGTTCTAGTTCCTTTACGTGAGACATAGGGTAGGTTTACTACTTGGTCTCTAAAAAAGGGTCTCTTGCTGTCCCAGTGATTGCCCTCATAAAGGCAATATGGGGGTTCAGCAGATAGGGGGATGGCACCTGTA